GGTCGCGCCCAGCCCCCTCTTAGCAAAGCAGCCCCCGCTCCGCAGCGGCACCCGGCGTCTCGCTTACAAGCAGAGAGCGGACGAGACTCAGCCCCTGGAGGAGCCAGTGGTAAGGGGGCCCTGTGCACTGGGGTGGGGATGGTGAGTCACCCACCGCAGAGGGGCAGGATCTAGCAGAAAAGGAGGGGACGTGACGGTGGATAAGACAGAGGGTGGCAACCTTCCAGCAGTGGCGTGCCAAGGTTTAACTTTCCCCAGCCCTGCCCATCCTGCCCCCACGTCCTCCTTCACCCCCTCCTGCCCCCAAATCCCTGTGCCCCCCAGAGCACACACCAAAGGGGCAGCAGCACTGGGACTCGCAGCCCCCTGGGAGCAGTGCTGGGCCAAGGAGGAGCCGGGGGGCAGAGTCACTTTCCTTCTTGGCCACCCCTGGGGGCTGGGGCAGGCAGAGCCGGGGGCTGCCCAGGGCTGTCTCCAGCCCCCACCTGGCTGCAGCAGGACACTTGGGAAGGGTCTCCCCCCGTAGGGAGCAGCCATGGCCCCGCGCCCCATGCAGGCAGCAGATCTGCTCATACAGCGAGGGGCTAGCAGGACTCACAGCCCTGGCTCCCTCCACTGGCCTACAGGGAGGGGGGTCCCAGCGGGCCCACCAGTGGAGCACGAGGTGGATCATGGCAAGCCCGGGGGAAGGGAGGGCGGCTGGGCCACAGCCCCTCGTGGTGGAACTATTGTTTGAGCCCAGCACGGGCACAAAACGGATTGGGGTTCTGTGTGTCCACACAGCAAGGCTGGAGCCGAGGGGAGTAAGGGGGTGGCAGAGCCCTGCAGGGAAGAGGCAGCGCATTTGGGGAGACGTGGGGGGGGCTCTGCAGGTCAGTGCTGGGGAGGGGCAGCTCTCAGCCCCTCCTGCAGGGAGATTTAAGAGGCAGCTAATTGCTCCCTTTGCCTGCCCTGGCAGGGTGGGGTGAGCCCTGTGCGGGCATTGGGGGGCCAGGCAGGGCTCTAACCATTGCACATGACAGCAGCCCGCAGCCCTGCAGGGGGCAGCACGAGCCCACAGTTGTTTCTCCCCCTTCCTAGCCCGGGTGCGTTACAGCTGGCCCGGGTGTGTTGAAGCAGGAGCCGCTAGTGCCCCAGGGGAAGGACCGGACCCCCCCAGCAGAGCATGAAGCTTTGTAACTGGGGCAGTGGGGGGTGGAGAGGGGCGCACTGGCCTCTGGCGCTATTTCTGGCTCGGCCTTCGACTCCCTCTGCAACCTGGTGCAAACCCTGAACCGCCGGCTGCCTCCAGAGCAGGTTGGTGCTGTCTACACGGGGGAGTTACGTTGGCAGAGGCACCTCTTGGGGTGGCAGGGGCGAGGTGGATTTGCACATGTTCTGCACGGCCCAGCTCTAATTTAAGGTAGCCTGGCAGCCTGCACCGCGGTGGTTCCTGCTCCAATGACAGCAGCTCTATACCTGTCTGGCTACAGCTACCCAGGCCTGGGGTTTTCCCTGCACCCATACTGGAGGATGCGGATCCCACTTGTAAGCACAGGCCAGGGCTCTCAAACTCGCGCTCCGTGGGGCACGTACAGGCCAGAGCACACTTGCAATCTGGCCAGGGAGACTTGGCAGTAAAGGGTAAGGGAGTGGGAGAAGGATGCCCACCCCCAAATCCCCCCCTTGAACCCCCCCCCACCTCCCACTTGAGATTCACGCGCGGGAGGCCTAACACAGGAGCACCCATAAGTCAGTGCTGAGAACTAGACCAGCTCCCAGCCCACCCCCGGCTCCCTACAGCCAGTGTCCTCAGCCTTTTCGCCCCACCGCTGGCCTGGTTTGCACAGCGCGGCCAGGCCGGGCATGAAGCAGGGGCACAGGAGAGCCGGGTGGGCAGGTCCTGTCGCTGTAACAGGTGAACAGCTGTGCCAATGTCTGTCCAGCAATACAGCAGCCAGGTGCTGCGGGGGCTCATTCTTCCCACAGCTCAGCTGTGCAACACCCCATTTCCCTGCCTCTCGCCCCACCGCTGGCCTGGTTTGCACAGCGCGGCCAGGCCGGGCATGAAGCAGGGGCACAGGAGAGCCGGGTGGGCAGGTCCTGTCGCTGTAACAGGTGAACAGCTGTGCCAATGTCTGTCCAGCAATACAGCAGCCAGGTGCTGCGGGGGCTCATTCTTCCCACAGCTCAGCTGTGCAACACCCCATTTCCCTGCCTCCCTGCCCCAGCTCCTCCGGGCTGGGCCCACGCAGCTTTCGTGAGCCCTAGGGATTCTCATCCTACTGCAGCCCAAGGCAGTACGTGGGGCCGGATCACTTGGAGCTGGGGGTCTCCCAGCTCTCCTCCCAGCACACACTTCCCTCCTCATTGCCCACTCCAGCATCGCAGCGCCTTGAAAACATTGGTCTGGGCAGCCAGAGAACAGGCCCGTAAGATTTCCTAACGACAGCTGCAGAACTGCGTCTGTAGGCTTGGATCCTTGCGGGCTCCGTCCCAGCCCAACCTCCTCCCCTTGCTCTCTGCTTGGAGCACTTGCTCTTTATCAGTGTTTTACACTTCCCTCCTCATTGCCCACTCCAGCATCGCAGCGCCTTGAAAACATTGGTCTGGGCAGCCAGAGAACAGGCCCGTAAGATTTCCTAACGACAGCTGCAGAACTGCGTCTGTAGGCTTGGATCCTTGCGGGCTCCGTCCCAGCCCAACCTCCTCCCCTTGCTCTCTGCTTGGAGCACTTGCTCTTTATCAGTGTTTTGCAAAACAATGGGATCCTCAGAAAGGCCAAGAGCCCCACAGGAAGAGGGTGCACTAGGTGCTGTACAGACAGAACAAAGCCAGATCCTGCCCCAGCAAGCTTCCTCGCAGCCTGGCTTGGGCAGAACACGGCAAGGAAGAGGCAAGGAAGAGCCTGAGCCGTTTACTCTTCCAAAGCCCGCTTCCCAGCTGTGCCGTTGGGGGCTGGGGCCACATGGCTTAAGCAGCCATGTGCCTTTGTCCGCAGCTGGCCAGGCCTCAGCACTGAATTATTCCTTTGAAAGCTGCACAAAGAAAAACCAACAAGAGTAATGTCCTCTTTGAAACACCATCAGCAGCCACTGGCAAGAGGCAGGATCCAGGCTGCACGCACCACTGGTCGGATGCAGCTTGTGCTGGGGGAATCCCCCTGAAGGCTTCAGGTCGTCCCTTGCAGGGGCTTCTTGTTTAAGAAGCAGTGAAACCTGAAATTAGTTCTGCTTGCTGGGTGCATTATGGACCAAGCTTCTTGGGAAGTGCAAGAGAAGGGGGCAGGCGGCTGTAATTAAAGGGGCTGCAGCTCCCTCCCCAGTGACGGGGAAGGATTCCAACAGCGTTCCCGGTGAGCCGAGATCCCAATGGCGCCCAGCTGGTTGGCAGCGTGCCCACAGCTCCGGGTGTGTTCCTGTGGGTGGTGCACAGCCGCACAGGCCGCGGTGCTCCAATCAGCTGTAGACAAATGCACCCCACTGACCAGGACAATACACGGAACCAGCCCCAGCTCTGCTGGTAATTCCTCCGCATCCGGTGGAGACAGCGGCAAGCCGAGGCTGTTGCTGGTGCCTGCGTTGGACCTGATCCATGGAGAGGGGCCTTCAGCTTCACTAACCAGAACTGTCAGCACGCACAACACCCACAACCCAGTGTTTGGTCACCCTGTGAGGGCCACAGGCTCTGCCAGAGGAGAACATGCTATTCCGGACCCCTCCGAAGGAACCCAAACCCCTGCCTTGTGTAGGCCGGGAGATGCACTCCAAAGGGGCTCTATTCCCAGCTGCACGGTGAGCCTGGGACAGTCAGTCTGGGGCCATATGCCTCAGTTTCCCCCACCTATGAAATAGGGGATGACGAGCGCTCTGGAAGAGCCAGGCTTGACTACACAATGCAAGCCACAAGCATTTGAAGTCAAGTCCAGCCAAGTCAAGGTCTGTCCCAGTGTCTCCAAACCACAGCAATTGCTGAAGGTGCATTACAGGGATGTGAAATCCCATGTACTCAACTAGCCACTTAAATGGGGCAGCAGGCAGGCAGGGCCATCTGCGTGGCCAGGCTGGAGTGTCCCCCGCCCACGGCAGTTAACCAGGAAAGGGTGATGCTTGGCAGTTAACCATTCACAGCCGTAGGGCATTACCCTGCAGAGCCAATATCTGAATTCACCAGTGGGAACAGAAAAAGGATTCGTCTTTATTTGTGAAGTTTGTTAACAGATGGACTATTAAATGCTAAGCCACCAACAGACTGCGTGGAGCATTGTCCCCTCACAGGTGCCTATGTCAGAGAAACACTGTGATGGCTGGAGCACAGGGAAACATGCAGTTAATCTGCTCCCAAAGAGATCTGAGCCCTGCAGCCCAACAATCACCACCCGGCTCAGCCCCCACCCCCAGTGTAGCGACATTGAAAGAGACTCACAGAACAGTGTGAAATAACTTAACTCTAGTCACATTTCCTCAGTTTGCTTCAAAGCCCTCCCCCAGGTGTCTGTTGTTGTTAAAGAGGGTAAGTAAAGCAGCCCTGCCGAGAGAGACAATGGGGCAGGAAGCCTGTGAGTAGCTCGGCATTGATCAATTGTGAGAGGGAGGAAGGGGGATTCCTGTAGATAGAGGATTTCCCACATCACTGCCACCCACCCGCTCCCCAAGGGGCAGAGCCAGACACACCTCTATTGGCGCTGGGTGGGAATGCACGCTGCCCAGCCTGGGGGAGTTTGTTCAAGGCTCAGAGCTTACAGCCAGTCCATAATTGGCTTCCCACCCCTTGGGTCAGATCAGGTCTCCTCTGGGGTGCCACAGAATCAGGGCACAGGGCTCCTGGGAAGACACGTTCAACAGGAAGGTTCCTGGCTCCCTACATGCTAGTCACTTCCATGGAGATGTCACTTCTCTCTAGCTCCTTGCAGGGCTTCCCAGTAACGTGGACCGTGGGGCAGGCACTTGGACTCTGGGGAAATGCAGCATCTGCACCCTCCAACCCCTCCTGTCCACACCACCTTCTCCCCACATTCACTTTACACACTGCGTAAAGCCAGCAAACCACCACACAGGTTCTAATTGCTCCCTGCACCCTCAGACCTGCCTGGGACAAACACAGCCAGTGACCAAAGACTACCAGCAACAAAGGGGATAAAGTTTACAGGTAGAAAACCCCTCCCACAGCTCTTTAAAAAAGTGAACATTTCAGAGGCTACAACGTAAGTTTGTTTCTTTAAAAAGTGAAGTAACTCAATTGCAAGGATGCCTGAGGACATTCTCGGTGCTACTTTGCAAAACAAAATATCCAGGTGATCTCTTCAGCTACTCGCCACCTGGCAGGAGAGAGAGAGGGAGAAGCCAGTTAGTACCCATACGGGCAGTCATATTTCAAGGGGTGTGCTGGGCCCGGAGGCTCTGCAGTGGTCTAAATGTTCTGTCCAGAGGGAAGGCGGCCTTGTGGTGAAGGCACAGGACTGGAATTCAGGACTCGACCCCGAATTCTGCCACTCTGTGCGTGATGTCAGGCAAATCTCTTAGGATCAGTCTGGGAAGGTGCTTTCCAGTGAGGGCAAACAGACATGAGCCGTGCTTGAGCCAGCAGGCTAAACGCAGCGTGCTCACCGCAGCAAGGTCTGAGCCATCGAGTACAGCCCTGCACAATCGCCCGGGTATACACGCTGCTATTGTTAGCCAGTGAGCTTAAGAGGGGCTAGCGTGTCTGGTCACCTGCACAGGGAGGCACAGACATGCCCTAAGTCTCAGCCTTGGCTCCCTCTCCAAGGGTGTGTCTAGACTGTGGACTTTTGTCGACAAAACTATACCTGTGTCTGCACTACCACTGAGTTCTGTCGACATAACATCGACAGAACTCAGCAGTTTTGTCGACGCTGGTAAACCTCATTTTATGAGGCATAACACCTTTTGTTGACAGAGTTCTGTCGACAGAAGGTGTTATTGCATCTAGGGTTGTGTCTAGACTACAGGGTTTTGTTGACAAAGCAGCTTGCTTTGTCGACAGAACTGAATGTAGTCTAGACGCTCTTTGTCGACAGAAGCTTTGTCGACAGTATCTAGACAGTAGTCTAGATGTACCCCAAGATGGGGAAGATCCTCCTTCCCCCCCCCGCCCCGTGTCTACTCCAATTCCTCAGGGCAGTGACTGCATTACGCTGACACTGTGCCTAGCACAGGTGTTGCTACAGTCAATCCTTAGAACCTGTTTAAGGACAGAAGGAGCCACCAGATCATCTCGTCTGACCACCTGTGTGCCACAGGCCACCAGCCCTGCCCAGGACCCACACACTAACCCCTACAAGCGGGATTAGAGACTAGACGAGGACGTGCCCCAGTGCTCAAGGCCCTGCAACAGGGTGGCGTGGCTCACCCGAGAAGCCTTTTCCTAGCATTAATGATTTTATCTGCTCCTGAGAGGCCGACCATCCCTTTGATACAATGGCTCCAGATCACCAGCGCACAGACCCTCAAGCAAGAACCTTTGGCTGTTGTTGCCCGTCTGCCTCCAGCAGCTCCCAATGGGGGACTGCCAGACCCCGCAATCGGAATCTGTTACCCAGGCTTTGGGCAGCCTGTGCCCCAGGGAGCAGAATTTGACACTCGGAGTAGCAGCCAGGCCTCAGCATGGGATGGGAGAGCAAACTACACCGTGTCCTGTAAATCAAAGCCAGCTGAGGGCTCACGATGTTGCCAGGATGCCTCACCTGGCTCCCCGCTCCTAGTTAGAATTTCTCTGACGGACGTTCTTGTCCTTGTGGTTTGGGGCATTGCTTTTCCTAGGAAAAGGGGAGAGAAGGCAGTGAGATAAGAGCCAAAGAAACGGCCTGGTTGCATAGCATGCTAATGAACCAACTCCTTCCCTGCTGGTGGAGCCTGGTTCAAAAGTGCCCAGATATAAAGACAGGCACCCGGTGGGATAAGATTGGGAGCCATGTGAACACAAAAGGAGTCTGCTAAGTTACCGTGCCCAGACACACGACTAAAGACCACACCGATGACAAGATACGGGAAGGCATTTCTGGTAGCCTGTCGGCTTGCCAGGGCAGTGGCTCTCAACCTTTCCAGACCAGATCTTTCAGGAGACTGATTTCTCTTGCATGCCCCCAAGTTCCACCTCGCTTAACTGCTGGCTACACAAGCACGCCATGGACACACTAGGACTCACTTTTACCAGGCAATTATAAACCAATTGGAATAGGAATATTGTGTTTACTTATCAGCTAATAGTGTAAAGGGCACAAACAAGCCACTGTCTGAAATTTTAGTTTGCACTGACTTCACTAGCGCTTTCTATGTAGCCTGGTGTAAGATATACAAATAGCCAGATGAGCTGGCGTACCCCAGAAGACCTGTGTGTACCACGGAGGGTACACGTACCCCTGGCTGAGAGCCACTGGCCTAGGACACTAGCCCGTTTGTTCATGGCCACAAGTGGGCCAAGCACCCCGCTGCATCTGCGGCAGCAGGTCGTGTAAGAAGAGAGCTGGTACTCACAGTGGGGCAGACCCTCCATCATCATCTTCAGGCCCAGGGTTGCATGGTAAGAAGGAAAAAGAAAGATCAGGGTGCAGCCGTTAGCAGGTATCACCTCCTGTTCATCCCACCCAGCCGCGGGTCCTCACGCCTTGGCAGCCAGCATGGGCTGAAATCACCCGGCAGCTGCCTTTCCATCGGGCACCACAGCTGTCACTGCAGCAGCACAGGGGTGTGAAGCAGCAAGACAGCTGTACTGCTCCTAGCTGGTCACCTATCTTTTGGCCAGCCATGGGCTTGGCAGTCCCAAGGATGTCCCTTTCTGGGACCCCGGCGCACAGAGAGCTGCCCAGCTCCCCCAACCCGAAGGAATTCTCGCAAAGCAGAGCTCAAGGCCACACTGCTGGGGAGCCGTAAGCAGCAGCTCACCAAGGCACTTCCCCAGTCGAGGCTGGAGCGCAAGCAGCGGGCTGGGCCCTCAGTCACTCCAGAGAGGAATTATTCCTCTGGCACTCAGCGGGAGTGACTGGCCCATGCTTGCAGCAGAGCCCAGCGCTGACGCGTACCGGCTGAGGGAGCAGGTGACGATTACGTTCAACTGGACAGCAGGCAGTTGGGCAGGGGGAGCTGTGCCCCGCCCTACACACACTCTGCCAAACACCGCGCTCTGGCTACGTCACAAGCACTGTTGCTAGGCAAAGGCATCTCTGGCGTCATCTGACTCACTCCGACCTTTCACCAGTTCACTGGACTCCGCAGCCCTCCAGCAGGAGAGGGCTCTAAGCCACCGTTTCCATGGCCCACATTTCCCCCCTGTGCCACCTGACATCAGGCCCAGGGTGCTGCAAGGGGCACTCTGATGAGGACGTGCAGCTGGTGAAAGGACTGATGCAGAGGGCAGCTAGAGCCATCCCTACCACTTACCATGTGAGGTGCCACCCAGCAGCAGAGGAGGGAAGAAAGTGGAAAGATAATGCCAGCAGAGACCCGGGGCACAGCCATGTTCTCTGCCTGCCAAGAACCTCCCCTCCCCCCAACACATAAACCTCCAGTGCTGACTCAGTACAAACTTCCTGCAGTTCCCTTCCTCGCAGGGCCATAGGATGAAGCACCCTTGTACAGAGGGGCTGGCTGCAGTGGCCTGCAGCTAGCATCTGGGAACTCATAAGTCCCCATTTAGAAGTTCTTGGTAATCCCTGCTCAGGGCTGCCTAGATCATCCTCCTCCAAGTCACCTAGCAATTACTCTCTGCCCCGCGATTGGCTACTGCCAATGTGACATCAGCATGTGAGGAAAAGATGGGGATCCAGGTGACTGAGCAGGGACGAGTCTAGCCAGCACAGCTCCATCGAGGCTGTAGCTATCCCTGGCTGGGGCAGGAGGCTCCAAGCTGAGCAGAAATCCCCCGGGAAGCATCTCTGCAAGCAGGGGGAGCCCCCTCTGAAATCCAGGCACTTGCACTCCCCTCCCCGCCCACATGCTCCAGAATCAGACAGGGCCCCTAAGCCCCAGAGCCAGATGGCTCCAGTGCTCCTTACCATCAAGGACCTCATCCGGCTTTCTCCTCTTCTCATAGATGAAGATGATGGTGACAAGGATCAGCACCTCGGCCACAATGCCCAGGAAGGGCCAGAGAGCTGCCAGGCGGCTGCGAACCCGCAGAGTCACCACGGTGCCATCGGAGCCCAAGTCGTTGGTGGCGTTGCAGTGGTACTCGCCTGGGTCCTTCTCGATGTCCAGGTTAGCAATGTGCAGCTTTGTCTTGTTCCCGCTGGACTCGATGAAGAACTGCTCTGTGCCATTGATGATGGGCTGGAAGCAGGGGGAAGGAAGCAAATGCTCAAGGCCAACCTCTCATGGCTAGGCACTGACCACCTTACTGCTGGCAATTCCACCCCATTCAGACGACCCTTCCCCAGGAAGAGAGGTCCACCCACGATGCTCACCTCATTCATCCCATCTTTGAGCTTGTACCAGGTCCACTGACTAACAGGAGGATACGAGCTGCACTTGCAGGTCAGAATGCCTGTGTCCCCTTCGTTCCCATGCTCGGATTTCTTGTAGGCCGTCACATGTGGCTTAACTGCAGAGAAAGGCAGCTCAGACAAGAGGGGTTTGGCCAGCCTGTGTGGACAGCAACTGCTGCTGGCCTGCTACCCAGTGTCATAGGCAAGGTAGCCACACGCTTGTATGGCAATCTGAGAAACAGGCCTGGGCTCGCATCTCTAGCCCCTTTCGTAGAAGGCCAAGTATTCAAGGTGCTTCTCGAGCAGACGATGAGCTAGTCTCATGGCCAACCAATCAACTAATGGACATCATTAGCCCCTACCCGTATTTCCCCAGGGCTCATTCCCTTTGCTCAGGAAGGCAGAGGGTTGATACAACTTTGGTTTTGCTTCCTCAGGCAGGCAAACAGTTTTGTTTACAAGCTGTCAGATTCATACCCTACAAACTGCCTGGTAGGAATCTATCCCATTCCGTCCCCATTTACTACTCGAAGCAGCTCATTCCATGGAGGATAAAAGCTGCCAGAGTGGAGTGACTCGAGGGACCATACCTACCCCCCCCGTCAGAGAAGATACTAGAATAGTTACCTGTCACATACACCCTACTGCTCACAGGGGGGTTCATATCGAAGATGCACTCGTACACCCCGGAGCTTTCTGCATTCACCACCCCTATTCTGTAAGAAGAAAGGGATGTCACCAGGGAGACTGAGGGGTGTTACATGGTCCATCACGCTACCAGGAGCAGGCAGACCATCCCATCGTTAGCTCATAGGCTGGAAAGGAACTGCCAACTCTGGGCAGTAGGAAGCAGGGCTAATGTTCCACCTCTGGGTGAGAGAAATAGGCCACATTCCCTGCGCAGGCACCTATATGTTTAGCAGAAACCCAGAGTATGAACCTTCCCCCCTCCTGGATCTAAGAGCTGTCAATTTACAGCATTGCTCACCCAGGCCAGATTGCTTGGTTTTAAGTTCTTGCCTGTACAGAGGAACCTATAAGCCAGCTCCCCTCCCCACGCTTTATGAAAATTGGCTAACGAGTGTAAATATGCCTAACTCGAAGATGCTCTGGACAAAATACCTCACATAACCTACTCATTTCAATGTTACAATCTGCTGGATCGGTGTGTCCTCTTGTGGTGCAAGTATCTTTCTTATACGTAAAGTCAGAAATACAAGTATGAGATTGTTTATGGTTTTAAATGTGCTAATGAGAGCCATCAATGGGGGGAGGGCGCTTAATGACTGGGTGATCAACAAACTTGTGAGCAGCCTTGTTTGTCTGAAGGCCAAACAGTGGTGGGTCTTAGGAAGACTCGTGACCACACGACCTGGTACTGGGATACCAGTCTGACCAGGTACATTTCCATGGAAGGGGGGATATAAATGAAAAAATTCCTGCCCAGGGGGAAGTGTATTTAAACAACAGGAAGCTATCAGTCCTTTTCTCTTCAGCTGGCTGGGGAACAAAGACAACTGGAGACCCAAGTCAGAGTAAAAGATCATCTGACTGGAAGGCTTCCCTGAAATAAACAGTGTTCTGTTTTCAGTAAGTTTTAGTGTATTGAACTGCCTATATGTTTTCCTTCCATTTTAATCCTGTCACTTACTTTGGTCTGTATTCACTTGCAACCACTTAACTGACTGTTTGTACTTAGTGTTTACTATTAAGCCCAGTGTAAAGAACTTGCGTGTGCACCCTCCTCTTGTTGCTAAAGGCGGCTTACCCGAATGAACTTTCAACACATAAAACGCTTATTCAGCGCAAGATGTGTTTATTTGGGATTTGGATCCATTTTGGAGGTTGGTTTCCTGGGTGCTTTGGCCTAGAACTGCGTTCTCTCAGAGCTAAAGCATTTCAGTGTCTGCCTGGCTGTTCAGGGGAGCAGTTGCCAACAGACTGTCTGGTCTCCCCCAGACAAGGCAGGCCCAGCAGAACAGGGTGGTGGGGAGCCCCAGAGAGCTGGTGTCAATGGCATGATCAGCACACCAGGGAACAATCTCAAGGGGTGTTCTGTGACCACACCCCATCACCCTACCCACACCTTCCTATCCCTGCCTCCCTCACCCACCTATGGCTACTCCTACCGCACAGTTATATACCTGTGGCTGGCCTGTGCCAGGAGACTCCGACTCATGGGGCTTAGGGGCTCCGATTATGGTGTAGATATTTGGGCCTGTGTTGGAGCCCAGGCCTTAGGACCCTGTTAGGCTGGTCTAGCCCCTTACCCCAGAAAAGCAAGCCTGAATCAGCTGGCATAGCCTGTGGGTGTCTAATTGCAGTGTAGACACACCCAGCAATCAGACTGAAATGAATGTGGAGCTGTGAACAACAGGACAAAGCTAGTGAGCAAACCAAGGCCCTGAGGCACCAGATGGGAGGTTGCGTCTCCATCAGCAGGCTTCTCTCTTTCAGCAAAAGCCTCAGAGGTTAACGTAAAATGAACCCAGCTGAGCAACATTATCCCAAGATGCGCCACTGAAAACAGTAACTCCAGAGGCACTGTCCCACCTCACGAGACACATTAACCCTTGTGACCACTGCAAATCAGACAGCCAAAGTGGCAGCAGGATGGGTTTAAAAGAAAGTTACTGGGGGAGTGGCTACTCAGCTCCCATTCACAAACGGCCACCAAGCAAGCGTGCCCTTTGGGTTATGCAGCAGTTTTCAAATAGTAAGAAAATCAGATCAGGGCAGAATAATCCTGCCTGGACCCAGAACCTGCTGTTTGTGTCCGGGGAGGTTTGCAGTGACAGGATGTGATGGCTTAAAGCTGCCTCAACACACACTTTATTCTGCAGTGTGGCATCCCTAGTGCAGGGGGCTGTTACTACATCCACACAATGGGCGGTTTGTTAGTTCTGCTGCACTGAGAGCTTTCCCCCCCTCAAAAGCCACTCAAGCTAAGGAATTGAGGTCACACGAGGGAGGCTGGGCTAGAAATACTTTAATCCTTGTTCAGCTCCCTGTTGCTATGGGGAGAGAGGCACGTCGGCTCTCCCGTACAAAGGGACATGATGCCTCTCCGGCTGGCTGGGCCAGAGCCAAAAGGGGCTGATGGTAATGAGACTGGAAAGCTCACTGCCCCGTTACAATGGGGCTGGTGTGCCAGTTCCTGCTCAACCGCAGCCTGGGAATAGAAAGGCTTGGGCAGTGGTGGTTTAACTAATAGGGCAGCACTCTGCGGACACTGGACAGGACCCTAAAGGGGAGGACGGTGATGGAAAAGCCTCCCCAACACCAGTGCAGGCAAACAAAACACATCCCAGAGTCTCCTGCCCCACACGCAGCCCGCAGAAGCGGGCCAGTTCACATCCTGTGCAGAGTCTGAGTGCCTACAACCACTCCATCTCCCAGAGCTTATCACAAGGAACCTGGCTATCAGCTCTCCAAAGCCAACCCTTAGAAGGAAGGAGCATAGGCCATTAGATGCCTTTCGTCCACCGGGCTCAGTGGGTTATTCCTACTGGGCAACCCAGGTCTCTCCTGACAGGCACCACATTGGGAACAGAAAGCAGGCTCCTCATCTCTCTGGCCCCTTGACACCACACAGCTCCTCTGTATGACGCTGTAGCACTAAAACCTCACCCAAACTCGCCCAGTCGTGCAGAGGACTGCCTGGCCTTCAGGGTAAGTTTTAAGACTCTGGGCTTCATCTGAGCACCCACTGGCTGCAATCCGCTTCAGCCCAGGAAATCCAGCAGCAGTCCTTTGAACTATTTCATGAACTCTAGCATGTTTTCCATCAGACGCATGTGGCCCCAGCAGCTACTTGCTTTGAGTGGTGTGCAGGGCATAGCAGGTGAAGAGCTTGCCCCACAATCTTTCTTGGGTGAGTGAGATCTGGCCCACGGGCCATATTTTGCCCACCTCATGCTATAGTTCCTCTCTGGGGCACACTGGCAGGGGCCTTGGGTATAATGGGGTTGACGAAAGTAAGTAAATTTCCCTGCTCAGCACTTATGGTGGCATGAGAATGGTCAAGTTTTCTGCAAACAAGAGGGCCATGAGCCTCAATGAATCTTAGTCCTGATAGACCTTAATTTTGGATCCCTCTCTGCATTGCCATCTGGGTAACCTGAAGTATCGGCTGCTTCTGACAGACCTTTTCTCAGAATAGACCAGAGCAAAAACAGTATCCTTCTCCCTCCCCCATGCCCTCAGATACCTACTTGTGGGAGGTATAAGCAGATGTTTCCTTATCTGATGCCAAGATCTTGTCTCCTTTCTTCCATTCATGGCCCAGAATGGATGACTTCGGTTCGGTTATGTTACAGGAAATCACAACGTCCATGCCAGAAGTCACATTTGGGGAGGTTTCTATAATGGGATCTGCATGCACAACAAATCTAAGTTAACATGTGGCATATATATGGGGGCATTTTAGCAGCCATTTCACCTGCCTTAGGACCTTTAGAAACAAACATCTATGATCACTCACCATCTGCATCACAGCTTTTCACTTACCCTGGCTGCTTGTTAAGAAACGGATCAATGATACCAGCAAGGGAGGTGCAGGAAGAGTCAGACAACCAAGTTAAAAAGGCAACTATGTTCTCCTCACACCCCTTAGGGCAGGGGTGGGGAACCTTTTTCAGGTTGGGGGCCACACACAAGTGACACAAAAAATCCAAAACAAATCCTCACTGATATGGCCCCCAACTGAGAAGCAGAAAGACGCTCCCTACATTCCCCTTGCACCCTATAGCCTAGGGGGAACAGGCTAGTAGACTGCGCTTCAGCCCCCATGCAGGGCTGGAACACCATTGTGGGCTCCCCAATACTGGAGGAGAGCCCTAAGCCTTGGGGGCCGGATCCAAGCAAACCAGGGGTCAGAGGCGGCCCCCAGGCCTGAGGTTGCCCACCACTGCCTTAGAGCAAGGTAGAATCATTCTCCAAATCCTCCCTAGACAGTTTAGAGCCTCCTGGTCTGTCAGGAGTGGCTGTATTTAACATTCCACTCCAGCTAAGTGCCAATCAAAGAAAAACCTTCCAGGCATATTTAAGCAACTACAAGGGCACAGCTCTATAAGCAATGTTATTTCTTTTTTCTTCCATACTGATCCTGTCAGGTTTAACAGATTTAATTTCACCTGGTGATTCAGTGGAGGACCACCATCCAAAAAGGGGCTGGATAAAAACAAACACAGTGCAAGTCTCTAGCACTGGAATCCAGCCAGCACACCTGAAATCTTATACTAGTTTAACAAGAGAATCAGGTCTTGGCTCTGGAGTCCGACAAGAAGGTTGATCTAATCTGCTGTCATCCAACTAAGTCGTCACTAGAGAAAAAATTCTATTCAAAGGGAGAGGAAAGAATCTCTGGGAAAAATAGCTCCATGGACACTAAGCAGCCAGTAAAAACATGAGGTCTTCCCTACTCTCCCACTCACTTCAGCCCTCTGAAGGAACAATTTGCATAGAGCTAAAAAGCACTTAAGATAAAAAAAAGCTAAGAACAGGCTCCAACAATATTATCTTCCACTGGATGTCTTTGCATTACCTAGAACATACGCAGCATATGCTATAACCATGTACCATCTTAAGTAGTGAGGTTACATTTGATTTCCATGCAGTAGCCCAAGTTTCAGCTACTGAGAGGGAAAAGATCTCTCCTAGCTCAAAAGTTGGACTTTCAACTCTAAGTGAGACACAGTTTGGTCACTTTCACAGTATGGATAATTACAGTCACATTATCAGTGTCACACAGAAACATAAGGCCATTTCAAAAATGGTTGCATTACCAGACACGAAAAAAATTGATGCCTACAGCACATACTGCTAGCAAGGAAGAAAGCATAAAGCAAGACTGGCCACAGGAGCAGGGGCTGGTTTGTCAGCGGCGATAAAGGCAGAGTCTACCAGCAGAATCAAGACTGAATTCTGCGAGTCAGAACTGGGACGAGGCATCTTAGAACAAGCAGCATATTCTAGTTCTTTGGACTATGGAAGGTACAGGATGGTCGTACGGTGTTTTGGTTGGGAAGTCACAACCCTTTTTGAGCAGGGCCACTGTGGATTGAATCACGGACGGTGAAGGGGGATCACAGGAGGGTAGGAGTCTCAGTTCTACAGCCAGGATGGGAGGGTGAGGATAATTTTCAGGAAGTCACGGGACACAAGTGCGGGGGATGGGCCTAGCAAGACACTCAAGGCATTGCAGTGTCTGAGCAACTACCAAGGCCTCAGTGCGGCCACTCACGTTCGATGACAAAAACGTTAGCCTGGGAACGGATCCACTTGACTTTGGGGTTCTTCGACAAGTGGTTGCGGTCGGGGTCGTTGCTAGCCCGGCACTCATACGTGCCCGAATCGTTGACAGTGAGGTTTGCGATGTAGATGGTGCTGGTAGAGTGCAGGTTATAGGTGGCATTGATTTTGACACGGTCCTGCCGTGCGCCATCCCAGAGCTGAGTATCGGTCTCGTTCGGCTCATCTCCCTCAAACCACCATTGGATCTCAGGGATAGGATTGCCAATCGCCTCACAGTGCAACTCCACACTGTCCTCGGTCAGTTTCTTTTGAGACAGTGGTGACTTTATAAAGCCAGCTATATGAGTTGGAGAGGTATTAGTGCAAAGCGTTAGTGCAAAGAGAATTCAGCCACAGAGATTTTAGCTCTTTTAAGGTGCAACGTGTTATTGCTTCAGGTAAGCAAGCTTCCCCCTCCCCACCCTCCCACTCTATATCCAGCCATGCTGTTAGGATGTAGTGACCCAAAACAATGCTTTCCACCAACTCTGCTAGTCTGTATTTTATGGGCTACTCCAGAACCAGAGCCCCAAGGCCAGCAGAGAACAGGGAGTTCAAACACACTACTCAGAGTGGCGCACTGTTCCCACACTCTAGCACCACTGTCTCAGGCACAAGTCTGCCAGGTGGGAAGTCCCTGACAACTTAATGTAAAGCTTACATTGGAATCAAGAGTTTGACCCCCTCTATGCCTCCCCAGAGGTAGGAGGTAAGAAGGAAGAGGCAGTCCCTTCCACAGCACCACAAAAGCATCCTGAGTGCCAAGAGCCCTTCTCTCAAAGCTTCCAGCCATAAGGCTCCAGGCTTTTTGAAAGTGGGAAGGATGTTACCAGCCCCATTTTGCAGTTAACTTTTTTGAGGGGAGAAGCAGGTTAAGAAAGAATATGGCTAGCCATGCTCAGTAGCAGAGCTAGGAATAGGATTCTAATTTCCTGGCTTCCACTCCTGTGCCATATCCACTGGATAGGGTGAATTCTCTTAGGCTAAGCCTACACTGGCATTTACAGCACTACCTTTCAGGCTCAGGGGTATGAAAAGAGCCACACACTCCTCTCAAATGCAGCAAGTTACAGCGCTGTAAAGTGCCAATGTCAATCAAGCTACAGCACTGGGAGCTGCACTCCCAGCGCCATTAGCTATTCCCCTCGTGGAGGCGGTTTACATAGAGCACTGGGAGAGGCTGTGCTTTAAATTTTTAAGTGTAGCCAAAGCCTGGGTTACATTTAATTCAATTCCAAAGCAACCTCATGTTTCTGGGAGTTTACTGAAGTTGCCACGGGTGTGCAGCTGCAAGTAGTTTAAGGGGTCTGTGCTGAAAATACAGCATGCCACAAGGCTACTATGCAGCAGGATTGTTTAATACATGGGGGGGGAGCATTTTCCAGTAGGAAAAAAACAAAATTATTTCATTCTGAGTCAGGAGCCTAGTTATGCCACTGCCAGCTTCCTCATTACAGCTAGCAAAACTGATGCATAAACCAAATTTCCAAAATTCTTCTCTCTGGGAGCATGATTATTCTGACAGGCAAGTGAGAGATGTTATTACGTTACCATTTTGGGGTAGAATGGGTAAGAAAATGTACCTGGGCTAGTAAATTATGTGGAGATTGAAAGGATACAAAAATGCAAATCTGAGCAACTTGTTTACATTTTCTTTTTAGTCTTACAGCGCATGTGCTATGACAGGGTCTCTCTTATCATGGTCTAGAGTTTTCTCCCAGCTGATCGTGTACAAAAGTCACACCCCTGTGGGACATGACTATTATGAAAGTGAGAATGGCTGCAGGATCTCAGCACCAGAAGAAGAGACAGAGGGGTAGCCGTGTTAGTCTGAATCTGCAAAAGCGACGAGGAGTCCTGTGGCACCTTATAGACTAACTGAAGTGTAGGAGCATAAGCTTTCGTGGGCAAAGACCCACTTCGTCAGATGCATGCATCTGACGAAGTGGGTCTTTGCCCACGAAAGCTTATGCTCCTACACTTCAGTTAGTCTATAAGGTGCCACAGGACTCCTCGTCGCTTTTGCAGAAGAAGAGAGCAAACTCTGGATTAATCAAAGATTCGGAAAGTCAGAAATATGGCAGAAAAGGGGATCAGAGGCATGAGAGGTATGCACATTGAGTTTGATTTAAACAATGAAATATTCCCCCACCTTCTTTAAGGGGAATTGGCAAGTGCTCCAAATGAGTGGAGAAATGCATCAAGCATAATTAAAAAGACACTCAATTTAGATAACAGGAAAGTGGACATGAATCAAGCTATTCCAGGTATTCACTGTTTTAGCATGTTCGGATCAAAACAAAAACCAAACATCTGTAGTGTGTTAATGATAAATTAAGAAATTAATACACAATTCTGTTAGCCACTCTGGGGATTCCCGCTGCCCATCACTTTTTAATCACTAAAAGGATCCTGAAACATAGCAAACAAGACTGTACAAGGAAGAGGGATGGACACAAGTTCCTTTAAAGCTAGAACCAATCAATATCACACCCTGATGTTAGCAGATATTGCTCTCAGTCTTATCCTGCAGTTGCACCTGTGAATTGGGCTCACATGTGCACAACTGACCCAGTAGTTCCCTGTCACACACACCCAGGGTGAGGAACACAGACAAATGAGTCATTTATAGTGTAGTAAAGAACACTTGGTAGAGAGATTTCCACGCTTTCTGTAAAGACACATCCCATGTCAGCCACGTGAGAGACGTGCAAGTTCTGGCCTTGCCTTCACTCACTCCAAAGTCAGTTGACCACAATTTACAAATGGCCAAATCCCAGCTCTCACCCCAGTCATGGTGACCGGGAAGCATTGTTCAGTGTTCCAATTATTGCATCATCTGCCAGCCTTCTCAGCGCTAGCTGGTCTGTTCTGCTTCAGAGATTCTTGCAGACTTGCTCTTAGTCACCCTTGTTAGTCTTTAAAGTGCTACATAGTCCTGCATTTTATTGCGGATAGTTTCAGATATTTCAGCTAAGAAAAAAAGCGCAATTATAATGTGAGATTTAATAACGGCTGCGTGAAGTAGTCAGGGAAATTCACTAGCCCAGGCATGACACTGACTTGCTTACTGCTCATGATACAGAAAACCAAGTAATTTTTACTCAGAACTGGAAAACTCAACTTTGTTAAAGACACATACATCAGGGCTACAGACTCCAGGAGTGGCTAGAGGGCAGGCGTCTGAACATACTTGTTTCTATTATGCTCAAGGTACCAAAGTCCAGAGGACTCACTTCTTTCACCCTTTTCACAATCTGGACATCTCAGCACCAATAGATCTGTAAATCAATAGCCTCACAGCAGTCGGAGCTGCCACATACAGCACCACTCCAGATTATCTGGCTTTAAAATGGGTTCTAGACAATCACTTAACTGTTTGGAGTCTGGAGCTACTGTCCCAGTTGAGAGGCAAGTATTGCTTAAGGGCTGGTCTGCACTTAAAGATTAGACTGACCCAGCTATGTTGCTCAGGTCAACCTAACTCCAGCTGTAGACCCAGCTAGGTTAACAGAAGTAGCTATCCCCTCCATGCCATGGTGCTAGTGTAGACACACCCCAAGTACTATGGGATATGCACCTCCTCCTAGCAAGGCCTTTGAGTCATTTTGCAGGAAATAACCTATTTCTAGAAAAGTCATTTCTGGATTGTGAAGAAACAATGACTGACATCAGCTAAGAATGACCGTGTTGAGTCAGGGGGTTTCAGGAATACTTTAAAACCCCCTCACTGTATGTGTGACATAGGCTTCCTGTACAGTCACTCCAGACTGCAGCTCTCAGGCCTGCCAATGGCAGTGCTACCAGCTACCTCAAATGCCAGGCCTCTCCACAGGAAACCAATTCACCCTTTACATAATTAGCGAACTCCTGAAGGGAGAAATAAGAAAACATCCAGCTGTATAGCTGAGAGCCCCTTTGTTCATGCTCTATCAAGAAAAAACCCTCAACATTTCTTGTGTCACTGAGGCCCAGAAGTCACTGATCTTAGCTTGTTTGGCTCAGACCCCCATTCACCCCTGAATACCTAAACAAGGGGCAACAGAACAGCAACAGTTAATGCAACGTTCTGGGGGCCGTCTGTGCAGTGCAAAGAAACTGCTGTGCTTCACAAGAGTGGGGAGGAAGGGGTGGAATCCAGATGAAGCTTTGAAAGAACAACACCATCTAAGTTTGGGTAGACAGCCAACCTGAAATGTGGAGTGATACTGGTAAACAACTCCCCTGGCAACATCATCTTATAGACACAAGGAGGTTGGGTTTTGTCTTGTTTTAATTTATTTTAGACAGGAGGAAACATTCCCAGAGTTGTTCTAACAAAAAAACAGGATCAGGTCATTCGTCTTCCACGCTGATTCTCACTCCTGCATTCCCGACTGACCCGCAGCAGCTTGCACAAAGGTGATAAAGGAATCCATACACCGTCCTCACCCTTTCCACCACCGTGCCAATTCAACAGCCAGCCAGAGAAGAAAAATTTAGCTTAGCCAGGAATAATACTGAGACTTGAAAAGAGGAATAAAAGAAAGTTAAGTTTTTGTTATCTTAATGGATAGCTATTTGTTTTGGTTGTCCCAAATAAAAGGGGCTTTTTGAAGGCAAGGTGGGAAAGGAAAATGTTTAGCTACAAACAATGATACAGTAAGACACCACTCTTTTTGAAGAGTTAATTTGTTTATTCTCAAATTAGATACTAGATGGGTAAAAAATGTGTCTGGTAATATAGTACTATTTTATATGCCAAAACATCCAAGTTTTAATATTAAGAGTATTTTCTTGAATGTACTGTTCTCAGTGATTTGAACAGGGGTTTTAGAGTCTGTCTCTAATCTGATTTCCATATGCAATTTCTGTAATAATTTTTGCTGCCCTTACATTTTTTATGCCTGAATGTGAGTACAGTGAAGTTCTCCCCAGCCCCAAAAGCACTCTACAAAATGCACATCTAGCAAAGGCACCAGAGGATATTACTGTTTTCAAACACCAAGCTTTGCATACTTCTAGCACTAAGGAACTGATGAAAATTCCCATCTATTAAATAATTGAGTATAATTTACTAGCTTTGCAAGGTTTTATTCGCCTGGTCACAAGTTAAATAATTGAGTGTAATTTAATAGCTTTGCAAGGTTTTATTCGCCTGGTCACAAGGGGCAAGTACGTTCCTGTGTCGTGGTTGGCAAACACTTTGGATTTTGCAAGACTGCTTCTTTTTGAATCACAAGCCTGTGATTAAACATTCTTAACTACCTAATTTTGAAGAGTCAAGGAAGTGAGCACCATTCCTGTAAGAGCCTGTCACATTTTAACTACAGCCTGGATAAAGGAGGCCATTAAAATAAAGGTTGCTGCTACACATACAAGTTGACTATAGAGTGTTCAACAAAATAAGTTACTCCAAAATTATTACTTTTAAGTCAGGGGGCCTCTGATTCTTAATTCAAAACAGGCTAGAAACTCAGTAGGTCTGAGGTGTGTCCTCATATGACACCGTTAAGTACTCGCAGTAAGGAAATAATCACCCTTATTTCTTATGGAAGTAACAAAATCCCCTTTGAGCATTAATCTTGGCAAACTGGATGAATTAGAACATAAGATAGCAATCAACAGGGCATATGGCATTCTCTAGAGCTGATAAGAGTTCCTGCTGTCACAGAACATACAGGTACAACTGGCTTCAACTCAATGTTAACTGCTTGGTTTTTATTGGCCCTGGACTAGGAGGGGTAACAAGCAAGCCAAAGAACAGGACATTCTCTGACAAGTAAGAGCTCAAAGTATTGGAGACTGTCATTTTACAGCCTGTTCAATCTCTGCTGTGCCCTACAGAAAAAAGACACATGACCTGCTAAATAACGTTTCTACATGAAAGTCACCTTCATCTAAAAACAGACACTCCCTCTGAGCTGAGGGAGGAGCTGCTGCATTATAACAGCGTCTGCCACACGTAACTGACTCTCTGCCTTCCTTTGGCTAAGCCTCACAGACAGCTGCCTCCTCTCCCAAAGCAGTATATTGACTGTTCAGTACAGAATCTCTCTGCTTATAGGGCTGATGCTTGTTCCACAGTTCAAGTGATGTGTGAAGTTTCAGACAATCCAGCTACTGGTGGAGGCTCTGGATACAGTCTCCATACCTCAAAGCCTAAAAGGAGGTTTTACATAGAGTCAGGCAGAATCAATGAGTAACTAGGGAAGGAGGTTTTACATATATAAAGTCAGGCAGAATCAATGAGTAACTAGGTAAGAGAACTTCAGGGAGTCAGAATTGTTCAGTCTTCCCCATCAATCTGGCAAAAAAGCAGGTTCCAAACGTGCTCACAGGATACTTGTGAGGGATTAGCATGGCCCAGATTTTAGGAGACCACCAATTGTTCCCTCTTATAAGAATAACCAAAAAATTATTTCTTGGCACTGCAAATTTAATGGCGACTTCATATAACAGACAAAAAACTCATTTATCTAAATCTGTTTTAAGACCATGTTACCCATGATGAAGAGATTAGAGAGGAAAAAACACAGAACTGGAGGGACCCTTTAGGACAGTCATCAAGTCCAGTTCCCTGCATTCATGGCAGGACCAAGCACCATCTCAACCACATCAGCTTCTCCTTCCACCCTCATTTTCTTTAGGCTGTGTTTACAATGGCAATCAGCAACAAAACTTTTGTCATTCAGAAATGCTAACCCTTCCTCACCCCCACCCCAAAGACAAAGATTTGCAGGGATCAACTGTCAATGCAAACATCGCTCATGCGGAAGCTAGACTACACTGCCCCACTTTTAGCAACATGGCTGTGACAACAGGGCAATGTCGCTAAAAGCTGTAGGGTACAGTGTAGACCAGTGGTCCCCAACAGTGCCCGCAGGTGCCATGGCGCCCGCCGGGCCATTTCTGTGCGCCCTCTGAGTGATCGGGGCCAGCCCCGCCCCTGGGTGCGCAGTGCATGGGCTGCCCCGACCCCGGGCACACGGTGTATGGGCGTCCCCGCCCTGGGCACACAGCACAAGAGCAGTGCCAGCCCCAGGCGCACAGCACATGGGTGATGCCAGCTCCTGGGCGTGCAGCACCGGCCCCGGGAATGCAGCGCATGGGTGGCACCGGCTCCGGGCATGCAGCCTATGGGTGGCCCTGCCCCCGGGTGCGTGTGCAGCCCCGCCCCTGGGTGCCTGGTGCGTGAGTGGCCCTGCCCCCGGGCGCCCGGCAGCCCCAAAAGGTTGGGGACCACTGGTGTAGACCAGTGGTCACCAACCAGACCTTGGAGCCTCTGACAAGAGATTCTGACAGGTTTGGCTCTGAAGGCTATCAAGTGCCAGCACTTCAACTGCCTCTCCCTGCTGCTCCTGCCCAGAATCTCAGAGCTGCCCCCTGGGAGCCTCCTGCATGCTGTGCAGGGTGGGAGAGAGGTAGGGGGGCACTGATGTCACTCTGAAGATGGGGGACAGTGTGAGGAAGGTGGGACCTCGGAGAAGTGGCGGGAACAGGGGTATTTGGGTTTGAGGTAGATCCTGGACTGACAAATTCAAAAAGTGATCTTGTGCTTAAAAAGGTTAGAGACCTCTGGTGTAGACAAAGCCTTGCTTGGTGTATTTGATACACCCTTTATTTGTCTATATGTGGGTTTATCACAGCAAAAAAGGAGGGAAAAGATGGGGGAAAAAGGCTGGTTGGAAAAGCCAGATATTGTCATCAGTACAGTATCCAACACTTTTTTAAAAAAGTTAACACACTTGCAAAATGTTTGAAAAGGCTGGTTGGAAAAGCTAGATATTGTCATCAGTACAGTAGCCAACACTTTTTTTAAAAAGTTAACACACTTGCAAAATGTTTAAAGCTTAGTTTTATTCAACAAGGTAAGGGGGAAAGAGCTATTCATACAGAATCAAAAAAGGAACTGAATAGGAAGAAGAAGAAAATAACTTGTAACCATTTGCCAAGATGTACTACTGGAATTTGTAAGAGAAGCTAAATCCATGTCCTCAATGAAATCAAGATCATTTTTGACCATTTTTGAGAGAATCAATGTTAGACCCAAGGATTTCAAGTCACTTCTCTTACCTACGCACTCATCAGTATAAACCAGCATGTAAGGCATTTCTATATTAGCTGCTTTAACATTAAGGATTTTTCATCTCAGTCCCATTAACGGAATCAAGCCATAAGAGGAAGGCTGCTGAGATCCATTTAAAGGTTTTGTTTCAAACCAGAGTCACTCTGTAACCTTTGAAGTCCTAATAAAAGAAGCCAGGATATAACTATACTGACATACCACACAGTTCTCAGAGCAACAAGCTACTGAGCTGCCCAAACGATGGCCAGAACTACCCAACATGATTTTTTCCAGGGCTTTGCCTAGCGCCAGCACCCTAACACATGAGACACTGCAATTTCATTCCTTGGGAAAGGAGTTGAAAACACAAAGCTCAGGAAAATCCACATCATTGCAGAAACCCACCATAGCTAAGGGGGCACTGCAGAACTGAATGGTTTATTAAGGAGTCCCCCTCAATGCCTTCCTGATGTAAAGATGTTATCTTCAGCAAGCAGCTTTGACAAAGGAAGGAAGGAAAGTGGCATGTACAGAGACCCCTCTGTTTAAGCAAAAACAAAACAAAAACAGCTGCCCAGACAAAGCTTAATAGTAAGCAAACAAATTTACAGTAAGACCAATGCCTGACAATCTACATCATAGAACAACATTGGCATCAAAAGCCAGATGTAAACTGACCAAAGGACAGACGTGTGACTACAGGGGGCCAACTGGGAATGTTCCCACAAGTTGCTTAGATAGCCCTGTGGCTTGCCAGGCCATTGTTTTTCATGTGTTTCAAAGCACAAATTCATCTGCAGGAGAGAGGCTATACACTAGCCAAAACCTACTGCTTTGTTTGGAAGGGGGGGGATTGTGTCTCAAGTCCGATTTCTGAAGCCTCACATGGGAAGTGAGGCTTTTACATACAGCACAAACATTAGCCGTGACATACTACACTTGGACGACAGACTAGCTTAATTTTGAGAAGCAGTGCACAGTATTAAAATGGAGGGTTAGTGTCAGGCTTTTCTAGAAGAATGCAAGCTCACTACAGATGCATACAGCAAGGGAAGGGAGGAATACAAGTTCCAATTTAATTTGTTGAATAGTGTGTCACAGTCCTCTGGATAGGAAAGACTTGTGGGGGACAAACAAATGCCATTTTCTGTCTTTAATCCTGCTGTATAAACAAGATGCAGTTTCCTCCTAGGCAAGAGCCATTTTATTACTATCCATGCATTTCTCTCCCTCGTGTACTTGCCTCCTCTGAGTTTTCATGAGGTACCAAATATGACTCAGAAAAACCACAAAGATCCCACCCACCGCTACACAACTCGAAATAGGGCAAGACCCAATAACTGCAGAGGACATCCCACTGCTCTGAGCAAGTATTAGGATTGAATTAGAGTCCTGGGTCTTATTTGTTTTCTCAGATTCCCTATGGCCTAAGGCACACCCATAGCCCTGTGTAAATAAATCCAGCAGGCTTCTTTGAGAACAGCACAGAAGGTGGGAAACTGAAATGTCATAAAGCTTCAGGGAATGCCAAATCCTGGTTCATTTGCAGTCATATTTCTGTCCATGCCCAAAGACCATGCTGTTGCACATCTTCGAAATGGCCACCACACAGGAGTTTCGAGGTACTACTGGTACATTACGAACACCTAAGAAATACATAGGGCAGCACTGTTCCTCCATTAGCAGATTACCAACTGAAGCCCTATATGCACATTTTTTGAAGCCTGCAAATTAGTTAGTACTGACAGACCTTGTGAGATGATGAACTCATGCTCTGATAACTAGATTGGTAAGAGCCACCTTAGTTTTCATTCTTTATTGATTGCTTTATACACACACACACACACACATGAACATACACACAGAAATGTGTCTGTCAAACCAGCTTCACATTAAAAACAGAAAATGCTAATTAGAGACGAACCTTTTAATGGAGTTTCCATCTGCAAGCAGACTCATGGTCCCCAGGGGGAGGCTGAGAAATGGCTTATAGCATGTCTGGAGTGAGCGGAACTACCACCCAGCCCATCTAGGATTTCCTTCACAGCTTACTGTGGGGACAGTCTGCAGATGGAGAGCTCACCCTGGAGGAATTATGCACCTCTGCCTCCCCACACTCCTTCAGCCCAGAGCCAGTCTCCTCCACATTCTTAATCCCACCCTCACCCTCTTATCCTGGGCA